AGGGAGGCACATCATTGAAGTAGAACGCCTAAACCGTCCAACCACGCTGATGCTGCTCAGTGAAGTCAGGCACGATGATCGATGGTGGCAATGGGGATGGAAGTGGGGATGGAAGATGCTCAGAGGATGGATCATCACCAGGGTTCTCAAGATTCCAGTGACGCGCAGCCGTGATATGGTATAGCCTCGCTCTCGCGCAGCTTAGTATAGCCTCACTCTTACGTAGCCTCACTCTCGCGTAGCCTCCCAATAGTATTGCCTCATTCTCGCGTAGCCTCAATCCTATGTAACACAGCCGCATCTTAGCAGTATATAAGTAGGTAGTTCACAGTCATGTACTCCAGTCTTGAGCTTCTCTACATCTTCTCAACTTGCTCCCCACGTCTGAGCCTAAGTTTGAGTCTGACTCTGACAGCGAAAGGGAAGGCGAAGGCGACCGACACGACGAAGGCAAAGGCAAAGGACATGGATAAGCATAAGGCTATGATGCTAAATGTGCGTTCACGTCTTCTTTTTTGTTATTTCTCGGATTGAAAAATTTTCCCCAGTTCCATGCGTTCCTCAAGGGCGACGAATCGTTCCTCGGATCGCAGCAGGAGTTGAAGAATCTGCTGCGCGTATTTTCTGCTACTCAAGCCGTTCAGGCGCTTGAACTACAACGCAAGAAGATCGAGGTCGAAGAGAGGCTGGTTAGCATGGTCGAGAAACTCGTTGTCCAACTGGAGGGTGTAAAGATTGCAAAGGAGTAGTGGAGATGCCGTATTCACTTCTTAGCGACGTAGATTGAAAGCTGTCTTGCGCCTTGACCAATGAAAAACGTGTTCTGTTTGTCATGTTCCTTGTATGCGCTGAGTAGCAAGGACATATTTTTTGGCGCAGCAGTGACATATTGCCTCCTCTCTGGGACGATGTTGCAACGGCTAACATCATCACCTCTCACTTCAGTGTACGCGATAGCTCAACATGACATCCCGGAATCCGGGACCATTTAGCCGCTACACTTTTGTGATCTTTACACTTCCGTGCGACGAGTTTTCGGTCATCCCAACGAGTCTCTCGCCGACCTCGACCGTCTTGCGCCGCAGTTCAAGAGCATGAACACCTTGAGTTGCCAAAAAATGTTTAAAGATAATTGACCACCTGCTTCTTTGATTTCTCCTCAGCACTGCTCGGTTTCCTCTGCCTCTGCTACTTCCCCAGAGGTTGCTCTTCATATTTTGTATCTGTCAAAAAGACATCGGATTAGGAGAAGTCAAATATGAAGTTGGGAACGGCTTTGATATCTAAGTACTCCAAAAATTCGGGTACGGGGAATCGAACCCCGAGCTGCCGCGGCCATTACGTAAGCAAATTACGTAAACTTGAGAGGCGGCAATGTTAGCCGTTACACCATACCCGACTTGAATATAGATGATCATACACAATATAAGTATGAATTTGCTTGAAGTTCGACAGCACCATGAATTGTCTTCAGCACGAAAAGCACCTAATCCAAGCACCAATGTTGGCTATTAAGCGTAGTGAATGGTCCGTGCGTCTACTGCGAGGGTGTGGTGAAAACTGGGAGACGTGTTCGCTGCGCGATATTTGGACGCGCGCCACCCACCGCGCCCTAACCGGATCGATTGACAGTGGCGTGAGCTAGTGGCAACCCCGTCGAGTGCAGACCAGATACGTCTGTATTGAATGTACATCGCGTCGAATTCCGTTGATATCGTTGTACTTCTTACTAGCAACCACTCAATCCTACACAACTCTGAAGCCTGGTACCAACGAAACTCTCGCAATTGAGGAAGACTCGGGCCAAAGAGCGTCGCGCACTTTGAACGATTCTTAGTACTGCTGTACGGATGTCGTGAATTACTTGCTTAGATGGCACGCGTAAGCAGTCCCTGCGAACGTAAATCAATGGCACAAATTAGCCTCGTGAGTGACTAGAACTCTTGCTGCTGTGCCTATTCCCAGATGGCCCACGTCACCGGGCAGTCAGAATGGTAGCTCAGGACGCGGGATTCACGACCCACCGTTGAAGGCATCCTGTCCAAGGCAGCCGTCATGTTGCCTGCCGAATTCACCCTGGCGCTGACTACAATGGTCGAAGATATTGCCGTAATTCCGCTATGATTTGGGAAGCTTGATTTGGCTTTCAATCGCCGTCGGGAATTCAACCTGTTCTCCAAAGGTTGTATAAATGGAATTACCGCTGCTGGCGTGTCTCTCTTACATTGCGACTGGAAATGTCATTATCAGTGAGGTTAAAAATGACGACGCCGATAATAATTTACTTACGGAACGTGTTGACGTAGAGTTTTCCGATAACCATGTGAAATGGGATCCTGATTGACGTTAACTCAAAAGGGACTGAATAGGACGGGTTCCGTTTACCAGCTTAGCCCCAATGAATCACGTAGATACAGGGCCAGAAGCAAAACCTGGATCAAAGTCACAACTAAACCCCGATTGACAGTGTACATTATCATGTGTCTCAGAAGAGAAGCTGCCCTAGACGAGGCATAAGTTAGTAAGTAGGTAAAGTATTTCTTCTTTCGGCCGCGCTGGCTCACCTTCTTGTGTCCATGGCGAATTCAACAAGGAGGAAGCACATTGCGACAGTGGCGACAATGTCACTCATGGCCGCAAACCCAATCTCAAACACATTGAGAATCTAATACGGCACAAGATTGTAAGTCACTTTCAAAACATAATGAGGACGAACCTTGAATGTTCTTGTTTCAATCATGTCCATAGCGCTTGTTAGCCCGAAGGTTACTCTATCTGCAGGAATAATTAGGACTACAGATGTAACGACGATTTTTCCTGATGCATACTCAACCCTGCGACTGGCAGGACGTTGAGAAAAAGATTTCTAAGAGGATCGGAGTGACTTACCGAAACCTACTAACGCAAATATGACCTTACCAGACGGCACTGTTAGACACAAGAAAGAGAGCCACTTAGTTCACTCACTATAATTGTGGGGATGACTGGTCTGTTCGACCCGACTGGTGAAGGCCATTAAACGACGAGCTGTAAGTAGTATGGTGGCGTGTGACTTACAGATGTAGACTCGATGGGCGAAGAATATTTGTGTCCTTGCAGTAAACTAAGGGGAGGAATGGAATTAGGCAGGGAAAACGCACAAGAATGCTATAGCAAGGGTGCCGACACTTTCCGCTGCTGCATATCTGGTGGTGATAAACAATCCGTAAGCTTTCCGAGACATAAGAAAATCTGACGGACGGTCTGTCAGAAGTTGTGGACACCGGTGAATTCTAGTTCAAGATCAGAAATTGTGAAACACGCACGCTATATAGGCATAGACTGAGGATTTCAGCAAACTTTTGCGCAAGCCGATGCTCCATACGATGCTCGACGAAATGTCAAGTAATCTGTCCCGTTCAGACGCTCAGTAACACCAACCAAATCTTCTTCCGTTGCTCACAATAACGCTGTAACCTTAAAGCGATTCGATAGCTCAGTATTGCTGCGCGGCTTTCGACGATGGCACGGAAGGGACCGACATAGAGTTTCAAGGCCAAACGATCGTCGTTGTGGGAAAAGTAGAAATAACCCTGGCATAAAGAAACACCAAGAAGCCTACGTTTCGTTGAGGAAATATCTTGTCGGATAACGTATGACACGACGCACACAGTTGAAGCTACAGTCCCTGCGATCAGAGTCTTTTGGTAATCATGGATCACACCAAGAGCCAACGTTGAGACACACCCCAGAAAACGTTGCTCAAGAACGCAACGCATTGGGCGTCAGCGCCGCCATCAACTGCAGGAGGCGAATCCATGATGGGGAGAGGATTCTTTGGTTGCTGATATGGTTTGTCGCTGTGACATGAGTAAAAAACTATTGAATTTGACCCTGACCGTTACAGGTCACACATTCCCACGACTCGCTTATAGGGATGACCGGAAGGGATCATAACCGCATCGTCATCCACAATCCATTCAACTTGAAGTCGACGTAGCTCGCACTAGGAAAGCCGAACGTGTTTCACTGTGAATCTACCGATGATTCTCTTCGCACAACGCCTTGGCTTCCGTTCGGGTGTGACCAATTTGAGGTTATTGACGCGAAATGTGTCAAATTCTATGGCGTATATACCAAGTGCGTTCTGTTACTTGTCTAGACAAACCATCGTCTAATGACACATAGAGTTCTCCAAATTTAACTGGGAAGTAAGATATTTGTGACGTTTGACCTGATTGGTAGCTGAGTAAGGTTAGGACCCTCTGAATCTGGAGTCCTTATTGACCGAAGAGGAGGTGGCAGTTCGGTAAGTACGATTCGTATTTGTTTCTCAATGTTTCATCCAATATTTTCAATGCAGTGACACGGCTCGAGCATACTGCCAGGTTAGCGGAAACTGATTTTCGACACATTCAATTGTTGAGAAGACTTGCAGGAGACCCTTCTTCCACGAGTACTGGAAGCTCAGCGAACGGAAGGTTGTTCCCCAGCCAATCTTCCCCAAGACTAATTTGACTGTCCTCAACACCATCGTAGAATACAACGGAAATACCATTCCAGAAATGGGAAAGTTAGGTTTGCTCGGCCCCACCATCAACGGATACGGCTGCGCTGGTGTAAGCAGCGTTGCTTACGGTCTTGTGGCTCGTGAAGTTGAACGGTATGGTATTACCCTCCATAAATGGCACCAAGGTATTGATTCATCCCCTTTCCAGAGTGGACTCCGGTTATAGATCAACGATGTCTGTCCAATCGTCCCTCGTAATGCATCCGATCAACGAATTCGGCTCTGAAGAGCAGAAGAGCAAGTATCTTCCCAGGTTAGGTACCGTTATTCAATTCTTGTGAACAGTCAGCAAAGTTTTCAACAATTTTCATAGCCACCGGAGAAATCATTGGATGCTTCGTGAGTGCGAATGTCCGCTTTGCGCTGCAAGCTGAAATATCTTGTGCAGGGGCTGACGGAGCCCAATCACGGCTCGGATCCCGCAGGCATGGAGACGACAGCAGAAGAAACTGACGGTGGTTTCATTCTGAACGGGAGCAAGACCTGGATTACGAATTCTCCGGTCGCGTACGTCCGACGATACGACATTGTTCTATTATATTAACCGTCTTCTTACAGTGACCTATTCGTCATTTGGGCGAGGTGTAAGTGGGACAATAAAGTTCGAGGCTTTCTCCTCGAAAAGGTACGCTACCGCTCCGTCGCTTTTCGGTGCCTATCGATTATTGTGCATGTGAGCAGGGTGCAAAAGGCCTCACAGCACCAGCTATCAAGAACAAACTCGCTTTACGCGTCTCCTTGACCGGATCGGTTTTCATGGATTCGGTGAAGGTCACGCACGAAGCAGTCTTACCAAAAGCTCAAGGACTGTCCGGACCATTCTCATGCCTGAACAACGCACGATTCGGGATTTCGTGGGGTGTGATGGGCGCATTAGAAGACTGCATCGAACGGACACGGGCTTACGCACTTGAACGCCACCAATTTAAACGCCCACTTGCATCCTTCCAGCTCGTTCAAAAGAAACTAGTTGATGCGCAGACTGAAGTTGCTCTAGGATTGCATGCGAGTCTCCAGGTTGGAAGACTGAAGGACGAGGGGAAGCTAGCACCTGAGATGATCAGCATGGTGAAGAGGAATAATTGCGGGAAGGCATTGCAACATTCGAGGGTCGTACTTGACATCTTGGGTGGGAATGCGTGCGCTGACGAGTGTGTTGAATCCATGTGTTACTTTGATCTGATGCTCAAGTTGGATCGATAGGTACCACGTTGGCCGACATGTTGCGAATCTGCAGGTCACTAACACTTACGAGGGTGAGTCTCATTAACTCCATTCCTTTTGGACTCTTGCTTATTGGACTTTGATCGACTTTCAGGTACACATGTACGTCTCTTTCTTCATCTGTCAAAACACTAGTCATCTCCTGACCGCTCGAATTCTAGGATATACATGCTCTGATCCTAGGTAAGGCCATGACAGGCATCCAAGCGTTCGCAAATTAAGATCTGGAGTGTCGAACTTATTTACTTTTTCATTACGGAGATGGCAGTCGGGGTTTCAACGGCGTGTTCGACCGGCGCTATGATGCATGTAAATGCGCAGGAATGATTGACGACGTCATCGATTGAAGGCCGACACTACCCTCGTGTAGTATCATGATATATCAAATGCAATAAATTACGGCGACAACCCGTTTGAGAGCACTTGTACAATCCAGGTACTGACTTCTGTCCAACAAACGACTCAGGTGCGATTCAACTCTGACGTCATCCTCTCAAAACGACGGCGGCAAGTTGGGGACGGTACAGTAATAGCCAAAGAGATGCACTAACGACCTCGATGCCGAGGGAAATCAGCTCGTATATTCTCGTTGAGTTCTTGATCATGTGTTTTTGCATCAACACTGC